TATACTCAAAAAATTTTCATTTGTTGTAGGATTAGCATAGTCACTTAAAGGTCTCTGATGATGTTCATTTCCATAATTACTTGGGTTGCAAGTCATTCTGCTAGAATTATCTATCTCTTTTTGTTATTTTTGAATTTTTCTAATTGTTCTTTCTAACTCTGAATTGTAAGGTACTAATTCTTCAGATCTTAAACTACGCCTAAAAAACATAATAAGCAATTAAAATAAGCAAACACGCTAAAATATAAAAATATTGAAGTTAAACTACAAACACATTTTTTTAGATAAAATAATTTACTAACACTTTCTGTTACTTTCCCAACAATGGCGCCAAAAACTTTATGCAGACGGATTTAGCATGTTATTTTTGCAAATACTTTTCAATATTATAAAATACACACGGCAGTAATAATAATAAATATGCAATGTAAACCCGAACAAAAATAACTTTAATGAAAATAATTTTATTTTTTAAAACCTTTAAACTATCAAATCCCCTAATAATAACTCAAGTATACGTATCGCTCAAGTAATAAAGGGCTCTAATGGAGTCCTAGATATTAATCCCACAGGGATGTTGAAAATGTTTATAGATAAATTCTTATGATTATAATTTAAACTAAAATTTAAACCAGAGAATCACAGGGACAGTCGAGCAACTGAAGGTTAAAATGGACATTTCGCCTTTTCTAACATGATACGGAGCACCGAAAGTCATGGCTTCCTCGCATTCTGATATTGGTTGACGATAATGTTGCGGTGGAAGCACAGTCAGGCGAAGGTGCACATCCAAACGAGGGCTCTCCAACGACTCTGCTTTTCGTTCACTGCAATGGACTTCGAATGCACGAGGCCTTATTGGAAGTAAAGTGATAACGAGAAAAAAATTAGATAAAATACAATCATTATAATGGTAAACTAAAAATCACACCCGACATTAAAGAAAGCCAATATAATACTCATTAAAATTGTGAGGAGAAATAAAAGAAAAAAAATCAAAGTTCTATATAAAGAAAGCATAAAGAAAAATAAGTAATACGAGCTCATAAAATCTCCCTGCATTACAAGGCTAGTATCATCCTAGTTATTAATATAATACAATGTATATAGTAAGTCCAAGTCATTTAACGAATAACTGTCTGTGACACCCAAGCATGGTCAGATCTTCTAACATAGTATTAGAATTCCACAAAAACTAATATGTATATGCAACAACTTTATGGTCATTAAGAATGGCACACACTTGTAATTCAAAGAAACTGAACCCCTATTACTTGATCTATCCCCCTTTGTTGGTGAGTATCATAGCTCTCAAACTCGATCAAAATTAACTATGATCAAAGGTAGTATCTATAATATCAAAAAACATCTAAGAAAACTTTGCATCCTCACAGTTTAAAAACAAAAGAACTAAAATTACCAAATGTAGAACTTTCAGAAGAAGAAATAGTCGTAAAAATGAAAACAAGGGCAATAGAGCAGCAGCAACGACCATTCATAACAACTCAACCACCATGCCTTATTCATCCAAAATAAAAAAATACATCCAAAATTCTGTCAAAGTTAGCTATGATCAAAGGTAGTATCTATAATATAAAAAAAAAAACATCTAAGAAAACTTTGCATCCTCACAGTTTAAAAACAAAAGAACTAAAATTACCAAATGTAGAACTTTCAGAAGAAGAAATAGTCGTAAAAATGAAAACAAGGGCAATAGAGCAGCAGCAACGACCATTCATAACAACTCAACCACCATGCCTTATTCATCCAAAATAAAAAAATACATCCAAAATTCTTAAAATTAATTGAGAAGAGCAGCTCAAATAATCTTCACCTCCATAACCACAATATTTAACCAAACAATCAATTAGCTAAGAAGTTCATGAAAAAACCAATCCAACAAACAAAAAACCCCCCTATTCATCTACTAGAAAATTAAAGTCTCTTAATGGTTTCAAGAAGCTCCTTTTTAAAGTGATAATTTTTTTCAAGCCTTGTAACAGAACTAATGTTCTTGCCATTTATAACCTCATCACAAGAACTATTCTAAAAAATTCTTGCTTTTATTTTTATCCATAAATAATAAGCCAAATTATGAATAGAAAGGAGAAAAAATCTTCTTATAATCTTATAATTAAGAGAATTAGAATAATCAAAGAGCTTTGAAAGATTTAAACATATATGAAAGAATTTACACCCGGAATATAGTTCTGCAAAACTCTAAAGGAGTATGAACGATCAAAAGAATAATGAGAGTAAGACTCATGTAAAATTCTATGATTTTATTGTTTTTATGTCCACTGGTTCAAGAGTTTGGTCGATCATGCACTACTGTGGAAATGCATGTCAGGGTGTGTTGGTGTCTGGGAACACAATAGTGGGTCTCTATCCTCTGTTAGCATGCCAATGAAAGTAAGAAACTTTGATTTTCTATTTTTTCTTACATTATTAAGGTAAAATGTCAATTAATCTTTAGTTTTAATTATATAAGAGAACTACGAGTACATTTGAGACATGTAGAGCCAAAGCCTACGGCAAGTAGTAGCAGTGATAGACAGTCTACTACTCAGCAGCCTGATTATGCGTTTGAAGGCAGATTGCAGAAACAAAAAAGGGGAGTTTGTACTAGTTGGGCGCAAAGTGTATTATATTTAGGGCCAAGCAATCCCGAGCTGCTCAAGGTGGTCTGAAGTAATCATTATCAGAGAATGGTGAACTTGTCAAGCATGTCGCTACAATGACTAAGGAGCTCTGCCAGCTACGTCAAGGCCAACATACAGTTTTGCATTTGATTTATGTTAGAAATTTTCGATGCAAATACCTTCAAAAAAAAGTCCAGCGTTAATCTTCATCTCCGGTAGAAATAATGGACAACACGTTTGAAACAAATTTGTGTCTGCAAATAGTGGACTCAAATTTCATAGGTAACATTTACGCCCACACGAATCACATGAAACTGGCTAACATTGATAAAGTTAGATGCAACACTTGACGTAATTTTTTTGTGTCAGCCACTCAATGCTAATTGCATTTGGGATGATTGTTTTTATGGGGATCATATGGCTAATGCAAATTCGTCGACAATATGATTTTATGGCAAATTTTTGATAAATCAACATGGGAGTTGTATGACATTAATTTGACAAAATCATGTAGTGGTTCCCTCTATCGGACGATAGTTTGTTAATATTTAAGTGCTTTAGTGATGCCAGAATTGAGAGATCTTGAACTTGCTGGATTCGTTTATAAACTTGTTAAATTTGGAATCCATTTGACCTTCCAACAAAGCACAAGAAGCTTCCAAAAATAGGTTAATGGCTCAATCTGAGCTTGACTTGGCTCATATTTGACCAACTTTAGTGTTATTGTATTTTTGTCTCATCAAGCCGATCAGTTTGAACGCAAGTTTGTTAAAATCATAGTTCTATATGATTTTTAAATAGTGTTTGGATGTTTCTTTCTGAAAATATTTCATTATCTGCGTTGATTGTCTCGAGATTTATGTCAAAATGATGAATTTTGTTGATTACCAGTCAACGGTTATTTTTTTTTCACCTATTCTATGAAGTGGATTAAGAACTTTGCACTGGGTTTTGGGTTTGTGTTGAGAGCCCCTTCTTTTTTCTGCCTTTTATAGATTATTTTTAAGTTTTACCCTTTTTTTTTTCTGCCTTTTATAGATTATTTTTAAGTTTTATTTTCATTTCATGTACGTGACTACAATTTCCCTCTTAACATGTTTTGACTTTTCTCTAATTTTATAGCTAATGGAATTCGGCTGCCCCCACTCCCCACTTTCCCAAAAAGAAAAAAGGTGAGAGGCTGAAGACCGAATTGGAAGGGCTTGATTTTAAAAGCTAGAATAATAAAAGGCTGTTATGTGTAGGAGTGTAAATGAACCCAACACAAATGAATAGTGTTTTTATTCGTGTTCGGTTCGTTTGAAATTTAATTTGTCTGAAATAAGCTTGTGTTCGAAATTGTTCGTGTTCGTTTCTTAACAGACGAGCCGAACACGAGCTGTTCATGAACGAGGAGCCAGTTTGACATCCCTAATATTAATATATATAAATAATATATTATCTTAATTATATAACTTCTATTACATAAATATATGATATATATATTAGTATATTATTAATATAGTATATTAATATATTATTATTTTTAATTTATTATATATTATAATTTATAAAATTTAATTTTTTAAAATATCATAAATTTTTTATATATATCTATTTTAAATTATTTTATATTTCGAACAATAATAATTCGAACGCGAACGAACGCATCAATGTTAGTGTTTGACTCGTTTAACTAACCAAACGAAAAAAATTTGTTCACGTTCGTCGTGTTTACCTATCGAACAAATCAAACACAAACTCATTGACGAACCGAACACGAACTGTTCGCGAACAACGAGCTTTTTTGACGGCCCTAGTTATGTGATGTAAATTTGAATGGTTGGATTTTAAAATCACACGAGTTAAATAAACTCATAAAAGCAATTATTTTATCTGAGAAAAATTAAAATACTGACATACATACTTTTAAAATGTAATAAAAAATATAAATATGATTTATTTAAAAATGAACTTAACACAGATAAAAAAGTTCATTGACTCAAAATTATAAGAATAATAATAATAGCAAGCATTATGCTTTCTATTTTAGAGTGAGACCTGAAAAAATCTCGCCGCATTGATTTACTTCCTCCTGCCGAGAATGGAAACTAAGGATGCGGAAGAATCCGATTTGTGTCACGTTTGTGCAGTGTCAGTATAAAAGAAAGTCATCTTTATCGGACGGTGTAGGTCGAGCTGTAACAATCCCAATATCCTTAATGGCGGATACGGACGCGCCCAAATTCCGCTGTGGATAAAGTCTCCATGTCACAAAAAGTGCACCCAATGTTTGACCCACACCACTTTCGACTTCTATAAATACCAATTACCTGATTCCGATTCTGTCTCTCTCTCTCGCTCCCTGGAATCTGCTTATCTCACTCTGTTGCTCAGTTTTTCGTCCTCTTCCCTCGGAGAAAAGATTACATCGCTCAGTCCTTCCCTCGCTCTCTGCAACGACAATTGCTTGTACGGTTTCGACTATTAAATCACCGGAGTTGATCTGTCGAAGTTATGGCAGGAGGTGTTTTCGTCGATCCCAATGGCCACGGGAGGGACTACCCGGGGAAGCTTACCTGGTTCGTCATCTTCACTTGCGTGGTCGCCGCCACCGGAGGCCTAATTTTCGGCTACGACATTGGCATTTCCGGTTAGTTTTTCGATCCATGCATCATATTCCTTTCACTCCATCGATTCAGATTCCCAAAAAACATCTTGAAATCGATCGATCTGCCTGTTATGCTCTGTTTCCTATTGCTGATCCAATATCTGAATGATTTTATTGCGAAGGAGGGGTGACATCGATGGATACATTCCTGTCCAAATTCTTCCCGAAGGTATACCACCAGGAAAAGGCAGACCACAGCACCAATCAGTACTGCAAGTTCGACTCGCAGCTTTTGACGGCCTTCACGTCGTCGCTATACCTGGCGGCCTTGATCGCCTCCTTCTTCGCGTCGACGGTGACGCGCGTGCTTGGCCGCAAGTGGTCGATGTTAGGCGGCGGCATTACTTTCCTCATCGGCGCGGCGCTTAACGGTTTTGCTAAAAATGTTTTGATGCTTATCGCCGGCCGCATCCTCCTCGGCATTGGTGTTGGCTTTGCTAATCAGGTGAGCTCCATCTTTAAACCGTTATCTCCGCTTCTGCATGATGAAATCGATTTGATTATTTGATTAGAATCTGCCGTAATTGTTTTGATATATTCTTCCCGCTTTCCGAAATTGATATTGATTTCCAGAAGTATGTTTATATGTCTTCTTTGCACTTCACAACTTTCAAGTGTGGTATAATATATAAAAGTGAAATTTGCATAACTTGCACACGATTCATATGGATGAACATATCTCAAACCTAAATTTTAATATTTACATACAAAGCATATTGTTATTTTAAATCTATGCATTAAAAAATTTATTTCACTTTTAGAAAGCAATAGAAGTGCTATTTCTAATCTAATATTAAATATTTTAATGCAATGCATGTTAAATATGAATTTTTAGGTGTGTGATATATAAATACATTGATATATTTATATAATGTTAACTATTTTACTAAAATTTATAATGCTAAATATGTCATTTACACTAATTTTTATCCATATTTTTTTTTTTTTTTCTTAGAAACTTTTAAAAATGAAGGAAACTTTAAAGTTCGAATCAACTAATATCAGGAGGTCATTTTTCATTATTCCGAATGGTTTATACATTTAATGTTATGTTTGAAAAAAGGTAAATGAATGTAGTCTGATGATACGATATTTATTACACAATAAATATTTTTTAATGTATTGCATATTTAATATCATTTTATTTATAAATGTGATTAACTATTGCCATGTCTTTTTTTATTAAAATGTAGTCTGATGGGACAAGTGCAGTGGTTAGAGAGGAATTCAAGTTACACAAACAATTTACATGTCCAACACCTTAAGTTTGATATTTACATTTATAGCATTTTAGTGTCATGATACTTAGCATAAAAAGGGTGCTTTCACTTTTAAAGCTTTTTTATATAAGATTAAAGATTTGAGTGTTGAGTGTGTAAATATGAAAGTTTAGATGTTAGATATGTAAATATATAAGAATGGTGTGGCATGTATGTAAAAACCACTAGAATGTGACATCATCTCAACTTTATTAAAAAATTATATGCAAAGTGCAAACTATAAAAATTATAAGCGTAATGTGATAAGTAATATGTGAATGTTTTTTCAGAACATCTAGGCCACCTATAAAAATTATAAGCGTAATGTGATGAGAAAATACTTAATATGTGAATGTTTTTTCAGAACATCTAGGCCACTTTAATGTTCATCTAACATTCATAATAATGCAATAATGAGCAGGTCTAAGTCTTGTTTTCAACACAACTATATACTGAAGGCATCATAAAATGTGATATATCATATAATAATGGATATATCACATAATAATGTCATTTTAACACAAATAATGTAATAAAAACATAATTTACAATTAATTTAATCGCTTAATTAACAAAGAGATGAAAAAAAAAGACGGGGTTGATTAAATACACTTTAATTAATATGATTAATTTGAGATGCATTATTTTCAACTAACATTCAAATGAAAGCTTGCTATCCCCCATTAAGAAAACTTATTATCATTAATGAAGGGCTCGGATTTGCAGGCTAATGTGTCGCTTGGATTGCAGGAAAACGAAGGGATTGAAACAAATAAAGAAATTACTTAAAGCGAAATTTAAATTAATGAAACAGACGTGTAGAATATAAATAGAAGGTGTGCATTTAAAATATGAAATCCCCTTTTAATTGTCCTATTAATTTGGGATAGAAAATAATTACCAGCCTAATCCGTTTCTTCAACGCCACCTAATTGATGTAGGTGTCCTAATCCAGCATATAATAATGATCTGTAAATAGGTGTATGTGTTTTTAATATAAATAATAAGGCTCAAAATTATATTATTTTAGTTGATGGAAGAGTGTCCAGACATTGGCTCCTGATATGAGTTTATAATAATTAAATATTAAATAAAACAAATTCAGTATGTTAAAACTTGTTTAGCTATTCTTAACTTAATTTGAGTGTTTTCTTAAAAATATATTAATTTATTTAAAAAAAAAAGATGTGTGAAAAATATATCAAATAATATATTTTAAAAAATAAAAGCACAAATAAAACAATTCCAAGCATGCGCTTAATTTTTTTTTTGTTCGGCTATTTTTTTCTTTAAATATAAATTAAAAATACTTGAGTTATAATTGGTTGTTGTCAAGCATCATCATTGTCATCACGTAACATTTCACTGCTGTTGCACCCTCAATTACAACAATGACTAGTGCATAAATTAACTTATTTAATATTCAAAAAAATAAATAAATTTAAACATACGAAATATGTTTTAAAATAAAACAAGATTAAAATGCTAAATTATTTCATTTGAAGAGTAAGAGGCATAAAAAATAAAATAAAATAGCATAATAAAAAATTCATTCAATTTTACTTAATTAGCGCAAAGACTGCTTGACAATTATACCTTGAATCATAAAGAAAAGAATATTGTGTACTTAGAAATGTAAATACATAGTAATTGTTCGGACTCTAACACCTTCGTTCTGGCATGAAACATACAGTCCGTTCCCGTATACTTGTCCGAAATGGCGCCAGCAAAATACCGAGGAACACTGAACATAGGCTTCCAGCTCATGATCACCATCGGCATTCTAGCCGCAAACCTCATCAACTATGCCACCTCCAAACTGCAGGGCAACATTGGGTGGCGCGTCAGCCTGGGCCTGGCCGCCGTCCCCGCTGCCACCATCACCCTCGGCTCCCTCTTCCTCCCCGACACCCCCAACTCCCTCATCGAGCGCGGCTACGACGAAGAAGCCCTCTCCATGCTTCGCAAAATCCGCGGCACCGACTCCGTCACCGCAGAGTTCGACGACATCAAAGCCGCCAGCCAGGAATCCAACAAAGTAAAGCATCCATGGCGCAACATCATCCAGCGCCGCTACCGCCCCCAGCTCGTCATGTCCATTCTCATCCCCTTCTTCCAACAGCTCACCGGCATCAACGTCATCATGTTCTACGCCCCTGTTCTCTTCAAAACTATCGGCTTCGGAAGCAATGCCTCTCTCATATCCGCCGTCATCACCGGCCTCGTCAACTTGTTCTCCACCCTCGTATCCATCTTCACCGTCGACCGCCTTGGCCGGCGCAAGCTTTTTCTCGAGGGCGGGCTTCAGATGATTATCTCTCAAGTGCTCGTCGGTACGCTTATCGGCGTCATGTTTGGGACGTCGGGACAGGGAACGCTGTCGGGCGCCTACGCGTCCTTTGTGCTGGCTTTCATCTGCATCTATGTTGCGGGATTCGCGTGGTCGTGGGGGCCGCTGGGGTGGCTCGTTCCATCGGAGATTTTTCCGCTGGAGATTCGGTCGGCGGGACAGAGCATCAATGTTTCGGTGAACATGCTCTTCACTTTTGTCATTGCGCAGGCTTTTCTTGCTCTGCTTTGCAGGCTAAAGTTCGGTCTTTTTTACTTCTTCGGCGGCTGGGTGATGGTAATGACCGCTTTCATTGCTTTTTTTCTTCCGGAGACCAAGGGAGTTCCTATTGAGGAGATGGTGCTTGTCTGGAAGGCGCACTGGTTCTGGAGAAGGTTTTTCAGCGAGGAGGAAGGAGCCCGCGCGGGTTCTCCGGATTGTGCGGACATGGCCAAGCACGACGTATAGATCTGTGTCGTGAACGGGCTGGATTTATAGTTAGCTTTAATTAGATGATTAAGATAATTAATTTTCTTAAGATAGTTTGCCGATGCGTTTGGCTTTGTCGTTGCTTCCATTATTTTGTTTGGGTGACGGCGAGGTTTATATAGATGCAACATTCTTAGTTCAATTTGCTCTTCTTATTAATTGCTTATGGAGTTAATTAGACTTTTTATTAGCATGTTGCCGGGATTGTTTGTTTGATCATGCGTTTTTAACAAAAGCAAACGTAACTCTTTATTCTGAATTTTTTTCCTTGAAAATGAAGTTTACTTTACAGCATACTCTATATCTCACACTTACAAAAGAGGAGTTTAAAATTTTGATTGCTATAAAATTAGAAATAAAGATCAAATTTTGCCTGGCATGGTTAAAAATAATTCAACTGATACAAATAGGTTATAATAATTTACCCTTCTAGTGGTTAGAGAAGATGGATGGATCATGCTGTAAAACTTGAAATTTTATGTGTGAGATCTACAATAATAATGGCTTATGATCACATCGGCGATAGACACTTGAGTGGCACCCAACACGCATTGAAAGTTAAAAGGACTTTGATGTGAGCTACAAAAGAGATCACAAATGTTAAGTAGGACAACAAATTTTGGCGTCGTCCGGCATTACGCATCAGAAAGCGAGCATTGATGTCCGTCTAAAAAGATTGTTGTTAGGGATGGAATGTCAATTAGTGCTGAAATTTGTCCCATTCAATGTATTTTTGTTTTTCATAGTGCTGATGATTCGAAATTTTAACTCCGTAAAGACTGATCTCATTGAATTACTCGATCTTCATTCAAAATTCATTAAATTTGAAAGTAAATGTCTTTTAAAATAATTTTTTAAAGTTTACATGATCTTTCTGTCAAAAAAAATTTGTACTAGTTGAATTAATCTTTTTGTACCATATAAAATGTTGAATTTTATTGGACGATTTTCGTTACTTCAAAATGAAAATAAAATAAAGGAACCCTTTTTTCTCAAAAGAAAAAAATGCAACAAGAAATACAAGAAATACATGAAAAGAAAATAAAAGCGCCAGCTATATTGCAAGACATAAAATAATCATTTTACGCATTACAACTGTATGTAGATGCTAAATATTTCAGCTTAAGAAAATTTAAAAATTAGTTAAATGACTCGAATCCTTTTTTTGCAAAGTCATAATCAATCCATAAATTGTTTAGATTCTGCTCATGTCCTTTAACTTCAATTCAAACAAAAGGCAAGACAACATACCAAGTAAATTGGAAATTTAGAAAAATATGCAGAACTAAGTTGCAACTTATGCAACAACACATAATTACCTCTTATTAATAAACAATTGTATTTATCAGCAAGGCTTGTGACCAATTCATGATCCAAAAAACCTCAAAAGATTTATGCAGCAATAGAATCAAGCCACTAAAACATACGTCAAGAAGATCAAACAAACTGAGGGAGGATACAATAGAAGAACATAAGGAGTAAAAAGAAGTGCACATCATCCATTACACTGAATCGACTGCACCTTCTAACTGCTGCCGTGCTAGGTGTCGCTCCCTCCGTTCCTTCTGATCAAAGACAATAATTTATAAATTCTTAAAATTACAGTGTTAATCAATCAATGGAAGGTTCATTTACAATGAAAGATAAAAGAGTGAAGATGGTTTACCCATTCATCAATGACAAGCCCTTCACCCACAATTCGTGGACCCGAGTTTTCTGCAGGTTTTTTACGTGCCTCAAGAGCTGCATCAGCCTCAGCCAATCGGTGCTTTAGTTTTTCCAATTGCTTCACAGGAACCACAAATTTCTCGGTTACTTTTAAATATACACACACGCAAGCGCATGCATTTACAAAAATAGAACACAATTCTAATGCATTTACATATCTTACATCTAAACATTCATGTTTGCTATATATGTAAATATGGAGGTTTAGCTGTCAGATATGTAAACGCATAAGAATTGTGCTGCCTAGGTAAATTTCCATTAAAAAAAAAAAGATTGACATAGAAGTTGCTTGCTTACTGGATTAGGGCGCCCAACATCCAAGAATACAACCTTCAGAATTTGCTCAACTAAAATTTGTTCCTTGTGCTCTTCAAACTACACTAAGCATATACATGTTCTTAATAAGACGGAAAAGTACCAATAACAACATATAGAACATGGCACTAGTCATTATTTTTAAAAATAAGCTGCATTTCATGCCATGATTGTGACAAAAGTGGCAGCGGTATCAAATAGGGTTCAAATATTGGGTTCGGGAATGACAAGAAATTGACCCAATCAGAAACTGCTTGACCTGACCCGAATATTAAACGAGTCAAAAAGTCCAACATGAACACAACTCACCAACCAGAATCCTATATGTATAACTCATCTAATATAAAGAAAAACAGCTCCTCGGGTCAAAATCGGGTCATTTTTTATTCAAATACGGGGTGAGAGATTGATTCAAATTAATTTAGGAATGGCGGGTCAATTTCGAGTCAGACAAATTGATTTCAAGTTAATATAGGATTGGCAAGTTAGTTTCGAGTTAATTTCGGGTTGGTGGGACAGCCTGAACCAGACCCGAAAAATTAAACCGATTAAGATTTTTAACCCAAACTCGACCCGACAATTATTCGGGTCAAGCCGAAGCCAGAATTTGAGTCTGGTTTGGGTTGAGTTGGCGAGTCGGTTAAATTTTGACACCCTTAAAAAATAGTGTGAAATTAAACCATGTTTTTGCATCTCTCTCAAAACCTTCCTATTTTAATTTAAGCTCCCCACATCTGCACTCACTTTCTACATATCATATATATCTTAACGCAGTGCTATTTCCTTGTACTGTGATGAGTAAAATCTGCCAGTTTAGAGTTCGACTTTGCAATGTCTAACCATAAAACAATAGAAAGCACATCATCATATAGAATATGCCCAAAAAAATGTTTAAAAAAAACTATATACATAAAAAATACTTTGTTTACAAGTGGCGCATAATCAGAATTAATAAAGACTCACCAGTTCTGGAACATATTCCATAGGCCCTTCCACTTTCAAACTCGTTATCTTAAACTTGAGTTTGTTTCTCTGATCAAGCATTGGCTTCTCGTTGTTCTCAGGATGTTCCACAAACTTGAAAACTGTTTATCGAAGTTGGAAACAAAGATTGAAGAAGCATTCGTTACAAGTTCTATGCGCAGTTGTAGATGATGGAGAAAAATAACATAAAATTAATATGAAGGAAAAGGGGGTACACTGAGACAGCAGGATTATTGGTAATTATTGTGATTTAACTATTATACTTAATTAATTTTAATTGATGCTTAATTTTAAACTTGTATTGCCTTTCGTGTTGCTAATCCTATTCATCCCTTTTGTGTAGCCTTTTGTCTTGTTTTATTTTTCCCCTTTATTATATCTTTGCAGGCCAGACCAGAAGAAAAAAAAAAAAGAGAAGAGAGGTGAGCAATCTAATGCTTCATGCGTGGAAACCAAGAGCGAGATGACGGAGTTGATCAATCTTGTATAAGGTAGATTGATTCATATCTTGATTTGTGGCTCTATTGCTTAATACACTCTCTAATCTTGATGTGAAACCATCATAAAAGCAAAGATTCGTGTTTCTCCCCGTGGACATAAATCCCTTTGTATTGTTGTTTATGTTCTTGTATGGTTTTAATTCCTGATTATATCTCACAGATTTGTTAGTTCTGGTTTAAAGTCATGTGTTGCTTTCTGCAAATGATTGCGATCAAGATTATCTAATCTTTGATTAGTTATATATTTTAATTAAACAGTTTATGTTTCTTTTGCTTTAAGCTATAATTATTCATAACTATTTCTAATTTGTAAGTTCTAAGAATTTGGCTTATAAACTGAATGACCAACTTTGTTGATTTATATTTGTGGAAAAGAACTTGTAATATTAGGTATTTCTACTTAATATTAGGTATCAGTGGTAGCCACCTAGGAGCCAAACTATCAATCAAGTTATATGGCAACTCGTACAAAAAGCGTTGTTCCATTTCCGATATTGACTCTTTGGCCTCGCTATCTTATAGGAAAATCAATGTTAATCCTATTATGATCTCTTTCGTGGACTCAGCCGAAATCACTAACATTTCTCCCTCATCAGTTGAGAGTTGATACTCCTACTGTGTCTTCATTTTTTTTAATGTCTCCTGTGTCACTGTTCATTTCTTCAAATGCTTCCGACTCTGGGAAAGAGATTACCCTTTGATTTGAGCAATCAGATGCAAGATGCCCGAAGCCGTGATACTTAAGGCAATTCTTTGTTGGGATGAAATAAGGAGTGTTGGAGGTCTCCACTTTTTCTCCACTCTAAACTATTTTTGCCTAGAGTGGGGCCAGCTAGGATGCTCCACTAAGTGGACTCTTGTAGCCTTATCCTAGGGTTGAACTCTACTAGTAAGGTATGACTATCACCTGATGATTTTGTTCCTCTGGCTCCAAAGCTAGGGTATGTACTTTAAGCAGAGACCAATATGGCTGCATCACATTCCTAATAGACAAACTTAGTCCTCTAAGATACCTCGCTTTTGTGTGCTCCTCCAGTTTCCCTAACTCACATTTCAGCATAAGTTAATAAAATTTAACTATGCACTCCCCTACGGAATAATCTCTCTAGAGTCAATGGTGGAATTTAATGAGCATATCCTGTCGGTAATACGGGAGAAAGTATTTGTGTTGCATCCCTTTTTTCATCTTACGCCACATAATCATCTTATTCTTCCCTTCTTGCTGACAAATATACTCTAGGTTCTCCCACCACAATAAAGCATTTTGTTGAACTTGATAGTTGCCAATTTAGCTATATTGCCCTGAAGAACATTGTTGTACTTAAAAATTGCTCCGCTGTTTGAAATCACTTGATAAACTGATACGATCCGACATCAAAATCAATATCATTAATGCAAAAGACACAAAACTAAATCGACATCAAAATCAATTCCAGAGGTAGTCGATCTTTGAATTCCTACAATTCGAGAGGTAGGAAATCTCTCTCAAATCCTAAACCTAAGACACAAGACTAAATTAAATGGATAAACCTAACTCTAAACATAATAAGCCTATTTATATCAATAATAATAATAATAATAAAAGACTAAATTGCCCATTGGATAACTTCTCCTGAATCTCTGTCTTCGTAAGGCGCTTGAGTGTCGCTCCTTGTCATGGCCCGTTATTCTTGTCATGCCCGTTATTCTTGCCCCGTGTAGCCTCCCTCTGGACTTCCATTGTTTGAGCTTTTAGTATGATCATGATTATAGCACCTCGGTACGCTGCTACATCTGTGGTGTTGGTGCGCCTGTTAGCCTTTTTCATCTAGTTTTGCCCTTCACTAGGGTTGTCAAAACGGCTCGTTATTCGTGAACAGCTCGTGTTCGCTATAAGTCTCCTCTGGTTTGGGGTTCGATTCTTCCCGAGTGTAGGGTGTGGTACTCAAATTGTTAAACGCATTAGGGATGGTCGGGGCTCGTATAATAGCCTCAGGTCATTCCTTTAAATGTATATATATAATTAAAGAAATGGTGAAAAAGCCTATTATACATGGCAAGTGCGCCCCATAAATTTTAACCCTGACTAATCCCAGTGTATTGTGATTGGTCAACTTGACATGTAACACCCTACCATTAGACTTTAGACGCAAACTGCATCTCCAGCCATTGAGGGATTTTATGTGAGTTAGTATATGTTTTTAACACATTTAAATTAATTTGTGATTAATAAACTTTGGTAACGAGTCAAACACGAACACAATTTCTTAGCTCGAAATATAAACAAGCCAAACACGAGCCAAGGGCTCGCTCGTGTTCGGCTCGTTTACACCCCTATCCTTCACCATCTAGGCTAGCTCTGCATCTCACTCAAGCTTTGCGGTCTCAATAGTCGGGTGATGCCCGTATGTCAAAATTTATGCCCTTCATGAAATTCTCCTTCAATCCTACTTCAGAAATCCCCCTCAGCCATCCCGACAACAACTCAAATCTCTCCCAATATTTTATGGCAATCTCCTGTTGATTCAAGACAGAATTTCTCATATAGATCTTCTCGAATTGATAAAAAATGTTCCAACAAATAATCCTTAAATTATTCTCACAAACGGATCGAATATCTAGTCTCCCTCAACTTAAACCATGCTAAGGGTTTTCCCCTCCAAACAGAATCCTGCGCCATGATCTTCTCCTCCCTAGTTAGCCCATTCACCGCGAAGTATCTCTCTACTCAATATATCTGACCATTTGTCTACCCTCCCGAATATTGGCATCTTCAACTTTCTAACACTAGCATCACCGACCCAATTTCTTCTCCCTCTGGTGTTTCCCTCCATGTATCTATAATGAAACTCTTTCCTTCGAACATAGTCATACCCCCATACCCCATTATGTTTGCTCTCCTTCCTTTTTTGTGCTCTCCCAACCACTTACATAACCCTCCTCTATGTATTTGCCCAACCCTCTCCATCATAAATCTCTAATCCACCCTCCATCGGAGTCCTAGGGGAAGTTCATGATGGTGGATTTTTTCTTCATGTTCCTCACCTTCGATCTCTTTCGCTTTTGATCTGGCCACAGATTCTCCGGTCAACAATTCGTTAGGGTTTTCAAATTGAGCCATCGGTAGGGTCTTGGATTGCATCTCAATAAGTTTCTTTATCATCTTCTCAAGGCTCTCGAATCAATCAAATATTCGATTCTTTGTGCAAGAAAACCTCTCGAGACGACCCTCCATTCACTTTTCATTTGAAAAAAACTTATCCTCTATGGTGGCGAACATTTCAATTATCCTAAATTTAAGTTGAATCATCTCTTCCACTAATTTCTTCTCAAATTTTCCTACTTTTTTGGATAGCATTACTCCCAGAAAAATTTTCGATCACAAAAGACAGAAGCACCTATAAGTTGAAATGTCGTTGATAAATGATTTCTGGATTATCTGAATCGCATATGTACAACGAGATTCGATTCGATTTGATCCGTCTATTGGCATCAAATTTTGATGTCGCATGTGTGGGATGTCCACTTAGAGAATACGGGACTATATTTCACTCGTTCATAGTTTCTCGTAATCCAAGACATCCATTAGGATCTCCCAGCATGTGTTTTGAGCATGAAACTAAGATTGGTATTGAATTAGCTTTACCCAGGAGAGTACATTGTTGGGTGACGATAATTTCGATACAAGACACATATGTTGTACATTTTAGTGTTTAAAGACCATGCCCTATCCATTTGAAGCCTCCCGCCGTCAAAGGCAATAATAGAACCCTCCCACGCACGTTTTGGAAGAATTAGGATTCGGACTGACGAACCTGCACGGTGGTCTAGGACGCCCTTCAGCACTTAAATCTTTGATATAAACCCTCCAAAACGTTCATCTTTAAATTATGGGGTCGCATTTTAGTGACAAATGGTTTCTCATAGATTAAAAATTTGTAAAAACAAACATTCGAGCGTAAAATTAAGATTTAGACCACGCCAACTATAGTTGGTCTCAGCTGGAAATTTTCATTTGATATGGCACATCTTAGATGTTCGTTGGGATGTTTGAAGACCATTCTTTATTCACAAATAGTCTCTGATGGTCTTAGGATTAATAAGAACCACCTGCGTGAAGTCCAACTCAATGAAGACGAAAAACCAAGTTTTGGGAGCCGATCGGGTGCATATGCACCCAGTCTTGGGCACCGAGGGGCCCAGGATGGTGCTCCAATGCTATTTACAGAGAGTTGGGCGCTCAGGTGGCCAGCCTTGGACACTTAGGCCCCCAGCACCTGAGAGAGCGACACTTAGTCGCCCAGCCCAATTTGGTGACGGAAAGCTTGCTGCCAGCTCTAAAGGGAGGGAACCTTGCATGCATTACACGTGGGGGAAAAGCCACATCTTATTACATGGTTCTTATGCCATTTTTAGAAGAAACCAAGAGGGAATAGGGGGCACTTTTACCATATTTGAGAGGAGATCTCTGAGCAGTCGGCGACTTCTCCTTGGACAGAGAGAAGAGCTAGAAGGGAGCTTTGTCTGGGGGAGAAGGCTGAGACCTGAGGGAGATTTTTTTTGGGAGAGCTTCAGAGAACTTGGAGCTGGGGAGACCTTTTTCATCCCCAGCAAAGGACACCTTTCAGCACTTAAATCTTTGATATAAAACCTCCAAAATGTTCATCTTTAAATTGTGGGGTCGCATTTTAGTGAAAAATGATTTCTCATAGATTAAAAATCTATAAAAACAAACATCTAAGTGTAAAATTAGGATTTGGACCACTTCACCTATAGTTGGTCTCGGCTGGCAATTTTCATTTGATATGACACATCTCAGATGTTCATTGGGATGATTGAAGACCATTCTTTATTCACAAATAGTCTCTGATTGTCTGAGGATTAATAAGAATCACATGCGTTAAGTCCGGCTCAATGAAGATGAAAAAACAAGTTTTGGGAGCTGATCGGGTGCATATTCACCAAGTCTTGGGCGCCTAGGCACCCAGAATGGTGCTCCAATGCTATTTACAGAGAGTTGGGAGCTCAGGTGGCCAGTCTTGGACGCTTAGGTACCCAGCACCTGAGAGAGCGGCACTTAGGCGTCCCAGTTTGGTGACGAAAGGCTTGCTGCTAGCTCTAAAGGGAGGGAACCTTGCATGCATTACACGTGGGGGAAAAGCCACATCTTATTACATGGTTCTTATGCCAATTTTGGAAGAAAGCAAGAGGGAATAGGGGGCACTTTTACCATATTTGAGAGATCTCTGAGCAGTCGGCGACTTCTCCTTGGACAGGGAGAAGAGCTAGAGGGGAGCTTTGTCTTGGGGAGAAGGCTAAGACCTAAGGGAGATTTTTTTGGGAGAGCTTCCGAGAACTAGGAGGAAGAGTGCTTGGAGCTGGGGAGGTCTTTTTCCTCATTCCTTTCTTCTCCTCCATTTTCTTTCTTCTTCTCTCCACATTTGCTCCACTACTTTCTTGAGGGGAGTGTGAGGGAGCCCATGGAGGAGCTTCTTGGAGGAAAGCTTCACTCCTCCTTTGGAAAAGGAGAGCTTTTTCCTTCTTTGGAGATCTTGATTGTTGCAAAGTTGGAGCTTGGATCAGGCAAAGAAAACCCTTCTCCAACTGTCATGAAAGTATAACTCCTCTAAAACCTTGTTTACTTCTTCCTTGGCAAGCAACTTAGAACTTTATATTAGAGATTTGAGTCTAGCTTTTGTGTTAGAAGGAAACCGCTAGGTTAGGGAGCATTCTTTTGTGATCCCCTACGAATACATGAGATTTCCTTAAACCCTAGATCATAAACCCATTCAGTCAAGATTACGATAATCCCATGATTGTTTGGCAGCTTCACTCTTGATGAAGGGGTTGAAGCCACTTTTTGGACCTAGAGAATGAGGGATTTCTTTGACCTCTCAGTCCCTAGCTCGCAAAGACCATGTACACAAGAAACCACATTTCTGGAAGGTTTTATCTCATGAAAAAACATTTCATATATTTTGCTAAATAATTAGACATAGTTCCTTCGTTACATTGCGTAACGAACGGTAGCTACACGCTTCATCCCAACCCTAGGATCTATGTGAGATCGTTAGGAGCGGTTCGTATTGCCATCGAAATGCGCCCAAGTTCATTCTCATATTTTCATGTGATCATCTTTATTTCCATACGCATGACATTAATTAAAAATAAGCATAAAAATGATGAATTTTTTGCATGTCTTTTTTTATCGGCCATCATTCTTTGTTTGTTCACCATTGTCCTGCTTGACTGGCCGCCTACATCGTTCGGACTTTGTTAACCGTCCCTCATTAGATTGCTCGATCGGCCGCCCAATGTCAACCGGCTCGGCTACCTACTTTGGCCGGCTCGACCGACCGCCTAGTATTGTTCGGTCTGATCGACCATCCCTCCTTGGATGGCTCGATCGGTAGCCCGATGTCGGTCGGCTCTGTCGCCAACCTTTGGACCGATCACCCACCTTTGTTCAGTTTGATCGCTCGTTGCTTGTTGGATGACCTGATTGGTCGCCTGACATCAGTATGTCGCAATCCCACTTTTGCTTTCTCCTGTATTGCAAGAGCTTTGGTCAAAAGAAGAAAGAGCGGCAAGCAATATTGCGTGCGCCTGTGAGATGAAGGATGTATGAATTATGGGGAAGAATGAGGAGTTTCATATATGATTTTTGTCATTCCTCCTGAAGGAGTTAAACCTAGGTTTCTAATAAGGAGCTCCAATGAACAAAGAGGAATGTAGAGGCAGAAGTAGATAAGACTTAATTTATTTTAATTTTCTTTATTTTTTATTTAAATTTAATTAATTTAATTTTTTTAATTTAATTTTAACGATCAACATCCACGTCACTCTCGAATCAATCAAATGTGCTTTTTGCAACTTTGTGCAGAAAGTTTGGCATGAATAGAAATAAACACATGCAAAACCTAATATTATTATGCCGCCTAATATAATTGGGATAACGCTATAATGAAAATGACAATAGTGATAATGATAAACCACAGAAGAAAGGACATAAAAAGCACATACCTGTTGTTATAATACTCTCGCCAGGCGAAAGTATTGCTCCGGGAGGACGCATGAAGCAACTTTTTGGCGCAGTTGTTTGAAACTATTTCATTAAAAAGAAAAGTCAAAAACTTAACAAATCCACATAGTAAAAAATGTGTTCAATTAACAAACTACTAGCAATCAAAAAAAAAAAATAAAAGAAAGCAACTATTTTTTGCAGAAGCAACAGCAGGCCTTTATCCCACTAAGTGGAGTTGGCTACATGAATCTTTTTCTCCATTGTATATTGAGTGTAATAGTTTTATTTGATTCTAAAAAATTAAGATCGTTTTTTATACAACATGCCCAAGTCCTTTAGATTTACCTCTATCTTTCGTGCAGAAACAACAGAAGAAGAAATTAATGTTTTCATGCAAATCTCACCATGTGGCTTCATGTTCTTACTAGGGAATGTAGCTCCAGCGGCTTATTCTTATTGGAATTCCTATTCTACCAAGATTGAAAAAAATGCACTCACGGAAGGATATTCGAGATTGCATACAATCCTATTTCCAGGACTATAACTTTTACAACTCCTGAAGCTCATCCAAGAGTGTAGCTACTTGCTATTACCCAAATATAGTTTCTGATCAACCAATACTCTTATCTGAGATTGATGCTTATCGGGCATGGGAGTTGGCTATTGCTGATATATCCAATCAATTTCATGTTTCCTATCCATGTTACCTACCTAATGCAGGTGTCTATAAATAAAATTATTCTGAGATATATTAAAATAATGTTTGGCATGAATAAAATTCAATTTTGTATATGTGAAGTTTTCAATCTTTCAAGACTTTGGTCAGTGATAAAATTTTAAGAATTTAAGATTCCAAGCCACCGGATCACTTTTTTTCAAATCAACTAATGAGCCTACGACAACCTAAAATATAAGCCAAACTTAATGAATAATTTTTTACATTCAATAATTATAAGAATTAACTGCATTATCCATTAAAGATTATTAAACGAGATGATTTTATTGTGTATGGATATTTTGTTATTTCCAAAGATATTCTCGCTAGGCTTTTTCTGGCTACCTTGTTAGTGAAAAATTAATTCAGCTAAACAGATAATTAGAACATCAATAAAAACATAAAGTAAAAGAAATTGTGATTCATCTTCTCGTATAATAACTGCAAACTGTATATACACAAAGGTGTTCTGCTTACAATTATAAGGTGACACCCCAATCAATTCTCTCATGTCAACTAAAAGTGTAACAGAAAAGAACAACTCGATCAGATGTAATTTTCACTAACACTCATCTTGGCGTGCGCTCATCAGAATCAAGCAAGTAGAAAATTGATCTTACTAATCATCACAAGCAAACTCTTACATTTCAATTCTTCTAATATTAATTGATATTAAAGGAAGCATGCATAATCAATCCTCAAATAAAATAGAGTTTCTAAAAATATTTAAATATGATATCATACATATCCCAAAAATCTTTTATAATCACCCAAATTTTACATCCAAAAAATATACAAACGTCGAGTCACCTGACTAAAAGTCCATTTGCTCTTTATCTTTCTCTAAAAAGCAACAATAAAAATTTTGTTAAGCTGCACATTCGATGAGAAAAACAATATTAAATAAGATTCAAACAAGAAAGAAACGAGTAATGAGTATGTTGTATGGTGACTAACATGAGTAACAACAACAATAATAAATAAACATGCAATAATAATAAAAAATTATTGAAAATATAATTAAAAGCAATGTATGAAACAGTGGCTAAGAATAAAAAAAATTACCACAAGTAATCATGTCATTCACTATACTCTGCAATATCATATATATGATATATATTTAGCTTTTATTTTTATTCTTATTCTCAACTTTCTATGTTAGGAATACTAAAAAATATTTGCATAGGCTCTCACATACTTATTTCATTGGTGGTCATCCCATCAACCGTAATAACCATTGACAATAATTGTTCGTTCCAACATTGCACTTACCAATAAGTTCTCGATCAATTGATCTGCTACAATCTTAATATTGAGAAACAAAAATTTAATTATTTTCTTATGTAGGGCTCATCCCGTCAGACCATTATAATTCACTGCACAGGTTATCGGTGTATTCTCTCAATGATCATTATCTATTCTAATCATTTTCACATACATTTGTTTCTTCATATGGAAATACCTGCGCCGATCACTTTAATACTAAGCACAAAAAATAATATATGACAAATAATAATCAATATTTGCGATAGCTATTTCACCTCTATAAATATGTTATAAAGCTAAAAATAGCAGGTAATTGGTACAATGAATTGTACTCTATCAATTAAATCAAAGTATGCATAATATGTAAGAAATTTTACTTGCAAATGCATAATAAATAAATTTACTTATAATTAGTAATAAACTAAAATCATATTAAACTTATTCTTTATTTTAGTAATTACAATCTGAACTTAGTATGGCTTAATCGCACGATAAGACTCTCATTAAGGCTCACCTCGAGCTCCTCATATAAATCGCCTAAATCACAGTTTTCTCCAACTTAATTAAATTATTAAATTTGACTAAAATTTACACATTTGTAATCATAATTATAATTTTACCTCAAATTGAATTCCTCGTATTCAAACTTGTAAGGCAATCCGCCTAACCCGAACACACTTTATCAGAATTAAGACAATATTAAAAAACTTGTCATCAAAAGATTATCATTTTTTTCCTTAGAAAACATTCTAAACCTATAATTTTCCAATTAAATCGAATTGTTGAAAAAATAAATAGAAACTAAATTTTTACCCCAAAATCTAGCTTTTCTCTCCTTTTTTTTTGGAAACCTTCTTCCCTTCTCTACCTCTTTCTTTCTTCTTTCATCTATGTTTTTTTCTTTTTCCTTCTTTTTTTTTTTTTTTTTTTTTCGTTTTAACAACCCAATGCTTGCTCGTCCCTCTCTTCATGAAACAGAGAGATCATAAAAAAAAAGGGGGTAACAAAAGAATAATTGGGAATTAGTTTGGTTATTACTTATAAATTAAATCCCATTTAACTGATAATCATAGCAATCCAAAAGCATCAAACCGCCACGTGTTGATATAGGAGGATCTGCTACAATAAATGAATTACTACCATATTGTATTTCTGTTGACAATGATTCTGTTAACAAAAGAATAATAAGGAATTAGCTTGGTTATTACTTAAATATTTAATCCCATTTAACTGATAATCATAACCATCCAAAAGCACAAAGCCGCCACATGTTGATATAGGTGGATCTGCTACAATAAATGAATTGCTACCATATTCTATTTCTGTTAAGAATGATTTATTAGATTAATTAAGTTATTAAAATATCTAATGAACTATTCCATCAAATCTAATATATTACTCAATTTTATATAGTTCTAAATATCAATTTAACCAAAATAAAATATAGAATTTTAAGCAAATAATTCCAATAATTATCAAGGCATGCAAAAAAAGGGGTTTTTTTAAATAATTTTCAGCTTATTTGTTAGATCTTTCTGAGTATTAAATTTCATTTTCGATATTTTTTAACAATCAGTCGACCCGTATGGAAATCTCGGTCTCATTTCTTGTTCATTTTCTCAAGTTACTTTTTAGCTAATATGTGCTTTCATTTCTTTGAACATGAAATCTATCTACTTCAATTTCTTAATATCAAATTCCAAATTTTTTTAAGCTCTTCAATATATGTCAATTCTTTATGCACCTCAATAACTTTAAATTGGATCTTCTGATCTGAGCCAATATCCCACTTTCTCAGCATTGATATACGAAATAAGTTGTAATGTCAGATATATCAGCTAGTAGAGCTAGCCTATAAAAAGGCTTTATGAATATTCTTAATGATTTTAAATGGGCATGTATTTGGGACTCAACTTGCTTCCATAACTAAATTTGGTTGTATTTTTTCATAGACCTAACTTTCAAGAATATAAAATCACCAATATCAAAATCTACTGTTATGTATCTCAGGTCATGATACTTCTGCTGACAATCCTAAACTATTTTTAATCTATTCCTGATTAGCCTAATTTCATGTATAGCTTTATCAATTAGCTTTAGGCCCAACAATGATCTTACTCTTACACAAACATTATATTTTGATATTGGTGATTTTATATTCTTGAAAGCAAGTTTACAAACATTAGAACAATGATTTCAGTATTCTCTGTAAGCAAGTTTATAAGCAATATTTTCTTATATATTTTCTGTTATATTTCATATTTTATCGTCAAAAGTTCTAAGTGACCCCAAGACGGCGATCATTTATTTGTTTCTATTTGGTATCAGAGCCATGTTAGGCTAAAATCTTTTTTGTATCTCAGGAAAATCGAGTAGAAGTTTCTTAACTACAGTTGTAATAATCAATATAATCTGTGTAGGATCTTTCTTAGTTTTTGTTCATGAAATTTTGACATCCTGAGTTAAGAAGGTATGAATACTCCTTAACGTCCTTATCAGCTTATGCATACTTATTTCTGGGTTTATGATTTTTGAGGCCGAACACTGTCAGTTATTAATTTAAGATCTACAAATGAATATTAATCAGGACGTTGTGTTCTATTAATTCAGTCAGTAACTCTGAGTGCCACGACGAGACTCTGGAATGAGCACTGTGGAATTGTAGGGGTGAAAAGGAATTAATAGGGTAGCATTCAGGAACCTGATCATGTTTCGTTTCTGATCTTATTTTAATAATTTGATCTAGATATCTGCTATAAGAAATCATAATTTCAGGAATAAGAGTTATAGGACTAAGGGCAGGCGGATCTCATGAGCTAAAACCAATTAAGAAGCTGAAAAGAGAATTTTGATTATATATAACTAAGTTGTAAAACTTTGAAAGGGTAAACCTGAGGTACTTTCACTTTAACGCTTGTCTCTTTCTCCTGTTTTTATGAACGATTGGGTTCAATCTTCTGCATCATCTGATTACAAAGCTGCACTTACTGCAACTAACTCCCTTGAACCACCTGCTTTAGGTTTTGTTAATCCAGCTGAAGCACGTCAAAATACAAGTTCTGCTCTTAGTGCTTTAGTTAAACAAACCAACACCCTGATT